CAGTACTGAGGACTGAGCCCTGTGAGCACTGAGCTACATACCCAGTCTGTTTTATTTTAAAACAGGGTCTAAGTTGCCTAGGTTTGCTTTGAACTTGTGACCCTCCCTCCTAGGCCTCTCAAGTAGCTGCAATTACCACACCCAACTCTCATAGCCTAAATTGTTTAAAGTAGGACTCACCAACTCTTCTTTTCCTGGTGACAGAATTTTCCAAAGCCCTATGAGTTCTGGTCGGGCCACTTCAGTTTCCTGAGGCCCACACAGGGGCCCAGCCAGAGGCAGGAGTCTGGGAGGGCCAATTCTGACCCATTTTGTGCAACCTGACACAGAAGTACAGGATCTGCAGATCCCCAGGCTTGTTCAGAAGCACTGGTGACAGTAGTGCTGCCTCGGTGCCACCTCCTCAGTGAGGCCTTCCCTACCAACCTTTCTGTTGTATGTGTCACCATTTACATTCCAGATCAACATACTGATCGTTTCTGGTTCCCTAGGAAGTTCTCACACACATCCAACCTGTCAGGTCAGTTCCTCCACAAAGGTCAGCGCTATCTGGACTTAAGACATCACAGGTGAGTTTAGCTTGTTCTAGAACGACATAGAAATGGAGCCACGCAGTACTGTTCATGACAGATTCTTGCCATCCACGTTATGTCTACGGAGGGCAGGTGAATGAGTGGATGGATGAACTGATGGATGGAGGAGCAGGTAGGTGGGTGACAGTGGTGGGCAGGTAGCTGAGTGGCTGGCCGGATCGGTGGCTGGCTGGATGGAGAGATGGACAGTGCTCCTTGCCCTCTGATGTTTATATCCTCGTGCCACCTCCTCCTATTCGGGGGTAACCCCATATCCCCAAAGCACACAGAAGAGACAGGCTGTGGCTTCCGAGGCTAAATCGCTGTGGCTTCTGCCCTGCTCTCTGGATCACCTGCCCAGCTGGTGATGGGGAAGCCAGCTGCCATGCTTGGAGGAAGCCCAAGCAGCCAGGGGGAGAGGCCCACTCAGAACCTTCCCTTCAACAAGAACAGCAACTTGCCAGACAGGTGTGACGGCAACCTGGGAAGCTGCTCTTCCAGACTGGCTCTGGGCGCGGATAACTGCAGCCTCATGAGAAGCTCTGCCCCACAAAGACCGTGAAAAATGAGTCGTCTTCAACCCCCTAGGCTCTGAGACAGCTTTGTACCCAGTGACAGGCGGGTAAGTGGACAGACAGGCAGGCGGCGCATGAGTGGGTGGGTCAGTGGGTGGCTGCATGGATGGATCCAAGCACCCCAGGATGCACCGAGGCAGGGGCAGGGCTGAAGGGCAAGTAGAGGAGCCCTGAGTCTAGCCAGTGAGGCCCCCAGATGGAAGATCTTGGAGATGGCGCCCACCCGCCCCTCTCCTTTCTCCTCTTGCACCCTCACAGGTCTCCCCTGCTGCTCAGAGCTCACCTGGCAGCGGCTGTTCCTACCTGGCCGTGACCCTGCTGAGCTGCATGGACAGTGGTGCCCAGGGCCACTATGCAGCTTTAGGCCCCTAGGAAGGGCTAAGGCAGCAGGCGGCTCCCAGGAGCCAGAACAGGCCTGCGGGAGCTGTGACACCCATGCACCAGGGCACCTCTGTCCTCCTGGGCTTGGGAGGGCCTGGGTTCAAGTTCTTGCCCCAGTGGATCTCGTCTCAGGGGCACAGAGAGAAGCAGCTTTTTCAGTGTCGCTCAGCTGCTAAGGAAATCAGGCTGCATTTCCTGCAGTCTGGGTTTGACAGACCTTGGCCCACTGTGCCATGTGACGCACCCCCTGTCCCTGATACCCCCACAGACCCGAGCCACACCCCAGCCCAGCCCCTGGTGGGCACCGCTGTGCCCTTCCCAGAGCACCTCGGGAGGTGCCTGACTTCTAGTGGCCACTGTCAGTGAGGTTGGTCACCCTCCATCACCAGCTCCCCATGAGCCCCCACCTACTGGTTTCAGCAGCCACTGAGGGAGGACTCTGCCCGACACATTATTTCACAATGGCTGGAAATGATTCTCTAATCTTTACCATTTCTCTGTGTGCATGTGTGTGTGTGTGTGTATAAGCACACATGTGTGACAGGGCTAGGCTGCCCTCAAACTTGCAATCCTCCTGCCTCAGCCTCCTGAGTGCTGGGACTACAGGTGTGCACCACCATGCCCAGCTTCCAGCTGTCTGTTAAGCACACTGTACATGCCAGATGCACACGAGCCCATCTGACAGCTCTGGGTGTGCAGGGCTGAGAGGGAGGCTGGGAGACTGTAGGTATCTGGAGGACAGAGGAAGGACTTGACAGACATGTAAGCAGGGACCCACGCAGTGCTCCTGACTCTACCTCCTGTGCCGGTGGGGAAGGGGGTACAATCCCAGCTGACCTCCTGGAGGAGCAGGAAAGGGGAATGAGGCTGACATGCCTTCAAGGAGGGGAAAGGTGGCTGGACTCAAGGTCTAGATGTCCCTTCAGAGACAGGAACAGGAGGAAAGTGGGGAGTGGGGGCGGCATCAGGGCAGGGTTTTTTCCCTTTGGTACCGGGACCTTGAGCTTGCCAGGCAGACTCGGTGCCACTGAGCTACACCTTCGGCCCTCAGGGCAGATTTTAGACAGGTCTCTGGTCCTGTCTGAAACCAAGTTGTGATGGGATTCAGCAGCTGATTCCTATAACCCAGAACTCCGAGGGACGGCTGCAGGCATGGCTGGATCCAGAAGCCGCTATGGCCGGGGGTGGGGGGGTGGGGATCCATGTCCCACCTATGTCCCACCATCTCCTGTCTCCTCCGCTTCCTCAGGTTTCACAGGTCTGGAAGCCCAGAGCCTCGGTGTGGAACCCCTACCACCTGGGGCACAGGCGGCCGGGAAGGGGCCCCTAAGTGTCCTGCGCAGGAAAGGGGGTCAGACAGGCTGGTTCCGGTGCGGGCCGTGGGCGCCCCCTGGGCTGCTGTCTGCGCATCTCGATTCCCCTTGAATTTAGAAGCTGCTGTTTCCACCTTCGGTCCACACCCGCGGCTCCGGGTGGACTCAGGGCGACCCTGTGCATTTGGGACCACGGGCGGCGCTCTCGGCTTGGCCACTGGGCGTCACCCCGGGCACCAGGTGCCCGGACCCCTAGGCACGCCCACCCTGCCACCCCTCAAAGGCCCCCGCAGACCAACCACCGGTCCCCCGCGGTCCCCGAGAGCCTCCCATGTCCACCCCAGCCCACTCAGCGTAGTCGTCCTCTTGTCTCCACCTCAGCTGTTGGGGGGTTTCTTGCTTTTTGTTTGACTGAGTCTCGCTATGTAGCCCAGGCTGGCCTCGAACTCATGTCCCAGCACCCAGCCTTGTACTCGGTTTTATTTCTGTGGTACTGGGGATTGAACTGAGGGCCTTAGCACTGAGTTACCGACCCCACCCCCACCCCCACCCCGGCCCTTTCCCTGTTTTTTCCTTTTGAGATAAGTCTCACTACACTGCTGAGTTGCCCCGCCTGGGTTTGAACTTTTATCCTCCTGCCTCAGCCTCTCCAGTGCTGGGCTCACAGGAGTGCAGCACCAACTGAATCCTGTTTTTTAAAAGTTTGCTCCACTGTAGAAAACCCGGAAGAAAGGCATGGTGACACACAAGTCTGTAATCCACCCCTTGGGAAGCTGAGGCAGGAGGATCTTGAGTTTGAGTCCAGCCTGGGCTACACAGCACCACCCTAAAAAATGTTGGAATAAGGAGGAAGAACCTCTGGAATCCCCCACCCTGGGAAGAGCCTCGGCCGGGGTCTGGAGAGAGGGTAGCAGCGTGGACCGTGACAGGCCCCGGCCTCTCAGGAGGCACCGGGCTCGAGGCGCCCCGGCCGCGCGGCTTCCTCCCCTTCCTCGGGCGCTCCGAGCGCTCCCCGGCCTCCGCCGGTGCCCCCGTCCGTCCCGTTTCCTCCGCGCTTTCCCAGGACCCAGCAGGAGTCACGAGCTCACGACTGCGTGCGACTGGCACGGGCCCCGTTTCCACAGCGTTTATTTTCCCCTGCAGGGACGGCGAGCGAGTCACGTCCGGGTGGCAGCGGGGACACTGAGGCACAGAACGGCCACGCGGCCAGCGAGTACCGGCCTGACGGAGTTCCTGGTTCGGGCCCCAGGCACAAGCCGAGATGCGCCTCCCAGCCGCCTCCTCCGCCAGCCAAGTGGGCGGCGCAGCGGGCGCGGGGTTACCCAGCCCTTTCCGAGAGGCAGGGTTTCCTTCTCCAGCACCGGATGGAACCAGGATCCTCGCGCTGAGCTACACCCCCGGCCCCCGCTTTTTTTTTTTTGGACACGGTCTCACTACGTAGTTCACGGGAGCCTGGAACTCCCACCAGTTCTGCCTCTGCCTCCCGCTGCTGGGGTTACAGGTGTGCGCCACCACGCCTGGTTTTTCATTGATACGGGGGCGGGGGGGGGTGTCTCACTCCCTGCGATGCCCAGGCTGGGCTTGAACTTGTGATCCCCTGGCTCAGGCTCCTGAAGGCTGAGACCACACCCAGCTCTCTAACGTTTTCAAATTGCAGAGGCAGAACCAGGCTTTGGTGGTACCCAGAGCTTTTACCATTTTGATGCCGAACAGTTCTGTTTAGGAAAAATAACCAGACATTACAGATTCAGAGGCGCAGGGCCTTGGAAGGGACCCGGGACAATAAGAGACCTAAGAGTTTTGCTGTTAGCACAATAAATCCGCCACAGCCTTCCAGCAGCCGCCAGGGCCATTTTCAAGCCCTGAAGTGGAGAACAGAGAAGGGCCCTGCGGAGGACGGTGCAGAAGCCCTGCAGGGTGCTCCCGGGCCCCAGGCGCCTCCTGATGGAGAATCCAGACAGCCAAGGACACAGCTGCACCCCTGCCCCTGCCCCAAGCTGATGGGGATGCTGGGGGGGGGGGCGCCCTGTCCCTGGGCCCCTCCCCTCCCACGGTTCCGGTCCAGTCAGTGCGGGGTGGCGCCTGGGGGGGGGACACACAGCCCCAGCCTCTCCAACTGTCCCCGCCCCACCCCCAAACAGGCACACAGCACTTCCGAATCTGAAAAATACTCCTTTTTATTTAATACAGAGGAACCTCAGAAACAGCTCCGGAATGTCACGATGTCCTGAGGTGGGGCTCTGACCTCGGCGTCTTCTTGTCTTCTACAAACTGCCTGTTTTCAGGAACAGCTGTCCATGAGAAACCTCTCCAAAGGCCACAACAGAAAGGACTTAACAGAGAACTGTGAACACTGAGCACTTCTGCCTGGTAAAAGACCCCACACGCAAGTCAACAGCCTGGAGAGGCCTGCACTGTGACGGACCTCAGACCCAGGGAATAAAGAGCTACCAGAAATCGAGAAGGCAACAAAGATCCCTGATGAAAATGGTCCGAAAATGAAGCAGCACAGAGGAGGAACCTCGGGTGGCCATTCCCGTGCTAGGAAAAGCCAGGCATGGCGCTGCAGGCCTGTCACCCCAGGTGGGGCTGGCTACGTACGTAGCCCCGTCTCCAAGGAAAAATAAAACACGCTCCCACCCCCACCTCCTGGGAGAGAGGCCACAGCCACAGCCCGGCTCCGAGGCAGCTGCCGGGAAGCAGGAGGCGGCAGTCTGGATCCCGACAGGCCCCTGATATGTGCTGCTCTCAGGCTACGGACGGAGAGCACGACCCCACCTGGGAACAGGAGACCGAGACCCTGCTTCCACCCGCACGCTGCCTGCCCACCCGAGCACCAGGGCTGCGTGAGGCAGGTGCAGGTGTCCGGGAAGGGAGCAGAGGCCTGCACTGACTCTGGCTCCGAGGAGACCACCCTGCATCCCTTACAGAACAGACGCTGGTAGAGGGGGCACAATGGTCATTACAAGGCCTGTGATCCCCAGCTAGTCAGGAGGCCGAGGCAGGAAGATCCCAAGGTCAAGGCCAGCCTGGGCACCTTAACAAGACCATCTCCAAATAAAATCCAAAAAAGGCCAGGGATGTAGCTCAAGGGCAGAGCACCCTGGATTCACTCCCCAGCACCCCACACCCACAAGCTCTTCTGTCAGCCTGCTTCCTCACAGCCTATGGCACTCACACTCCTTTATGGGGCTGCTGCGGCTTCACTGGGTTAATCCACTCCCACCAGCGGTGGCCACGCCCTCTCTGCCCTGCTGGCCCTGGCACCCACTCCCCACCAGCTTCCTCAGATGTATTTCTGGTGCTAGGGTTGGACGCAGGGCCTCGGGCACACTTAGCCAGCCCAGCCCTCAGCTTCAAAGCAGCCAAGCACTGTTCTCTAAGTCCTGGGCAGCAGGGGACACCAGGGGTGGCAGAGAAGCCAGGTGGGTGAGGAGGAAGCCACACAGCCCGGGGCAATGGTCACAGGTGCTTTATTGAGGGTCAGAGGCTCCGGCGTCAGCACTGCTACAACCTAGGGACAGAGAGAGGGGCTGAGGAGCAGCGCCCCTCTGCTGCCACCCCAGGCTGACCAGGCCCTGTGACTGGGGGACATTACAGGGACCAGGGCTCCTGGCCGTTTCTGTCAACATGGCGAGGAGGGGACACTCACTGGATCTCTCGGAATGCCCGCTTTTCCACCAGCTTCACCTTGTACTTGCGCTTGAACCTAGGAAGCACAACAGACATCAGGGACTCGAGCACACGTCACCCATCCCCAGCCCAGCCCGGCCCGGCCCAGCCCGGCCCGCACTTGGCTCTCTCGCGGGGCTCGATCATGTTCCGGCGCTGGAAGCTCTTGAAGCGATCCCTCAGGATATTGCCCTCGGGCTGCGGCAGAGAGGGAGCTCAGCAGGCCGGGTCTGAGGGCACAGACCCGGGGCCTGGAGCTGGGTCCGGGATCAACAGGAAGGAAGGAAGAAAAGAGAACAGGGCACAAGGCCAAAGGCCAGGGCCACCGGAAGTGGCACGTGGAGCACAAGGAAGCCCAGGGTGGGAGCCAGGTAGGCCCCAAACGGTCACCCCGAGACCCCACGGAACTGAAGGGCCAGCTGGCAAGAAAAACCACCCATCCCTCCCCACAGGACCCCGTGCCCTCAGCCCCCAGACAACAGCACCACCGGCCCAGCCCGGGGGCAGCCAAGGTGTCGCCCACAGCCCCTGGGGGCATGGGGAGCAAGGATGGTGTCATCACCGGGCACAGTCCCTGGGACATCGAAGTCGTGGACACACACCTTCAGGGCCCGGAGTGAGCCGGAACGCTCTGAGCTGAGCTGCACATCAATGTCAGGGGGCTGGTACCTGCAAAACGCAGCCCGGGGGTGCCCTGAGCCCAGGCAGGGCAGGAACCCCAAGTCCCAGGGCCCCCAGGCACAGCAGGTCTCCCGGGGCGTCCCTTCTGGGCCTCACTTGAGCCGCCCCAGCCTGCGGGGCTTGTCATCCTCCGCCAGCCGCTTCAGCCGCCGCCACTCCCGCCGCCGTGCCAGATCTGCCAGCCGCTGGGCCACCTGGGCCTTGATGCCGCGCAGCCGGAAGAGCTCCTGGTGCCGAAGCCGGGCAGCCCGAAGCATACCCTGCTGCACCCGCTGGGGGAAGGGCCGGGTCAGCACCCAGGCCCCCAAAGCCTGGTCCCCACGGCCTGCCCTGCCCCTGCCCCTGCCCACTGGCCACTCGAGCGTCTCTTACACGCTATTTTTCTGCTGCTCCTGGGGATGGAACCCAGGGATGCCCCACCACTGGGTAACACCCCCAGCTCATTGTGAGACAAACTGGTTAAGTTGCCTAAGCAGGCTACAAACTAGAGATCTCCCTGCCTCAGCCTCCCAAGCAGCTGAGATCACAAGGAGGCACAAGACACCTGGCTTCAGCAGCTGTTTTTCCAAACTTCCTTTGCTCTCCGCTTCTCTGTCTGAGATCCCCACCTCTCTCTCATGCACCAGGGCAGCAGGGGCCCGCGCGGGTGACCCGGGAAAGGGAGGCAGCCAGCCCGGTGCTCACCTGCGTGCGGGCAGCCTTCTCCCGCCGTCGCTGCTGCTCCGTCTTCTTCTCCATGGTGGCAGGCCGGGCAGGTGGGGGAGAGGTCCCGGCTCCCCCTGCCTCACTAGCCTGGGGCCTCGGGTCCTGGCCGGGCTCGCCCTCCCCGTCTGACTCCTCCAGCAGCCCCTCACACATCTCCCGGAACACAGTCTCCTGCGGAGCGGGCGGGCAGGCGTCAGGAGCCAGGGGCAGCGGTGGGCAGGCGGCCGGGCGGGCAGGCATGGGGCTCACCTGGGTGGCGGCCTGCTCAACAAGGGGCAGTGCCAGTTGCCGCTCCAGCTTCTCCGCCTCCTTCTGGCGCTGCAGCTCCACCTTGTGGGCGGCCAGGAGCAAGGCCTGGGAGAGGGGAGCGGTGGGTCTGAGGCCGGCCCCACACTCACCTCCCCCCACGCTGCGCTCCCGCCACTCGGCCCGGCCCCGAGCTGCACACTGCCGTCCCTGCCAAGACGTGGGGGCAGACAGGCTCCCAGAGACGGGAGACGGTGCTGCCAGAGGCTGGCTCAGCTGAAGGGTGTGAGGCCTCTCACACCTGCCTGGCGGCCCTGACGCTCACTGTGCGCTGAGTCGTGACCGTCGGCCTGTGACCTGCACCCCGCACCTGCTCACGGGCGCACAGCACCCATGGCACCTGCTGCTCACGGCCAGCCTGGGCCTTGTATTTCTGGCAGTGCTGGGGACGGGACCCCGGGCTGGGTGTGCCTGGCCAGTGCTCTGAGCAGGGCCTGCTCACAGGCGTGGTGGCTCCAGCCCAGGGCGCCACCATCCAGTGTCCCAGACTTCCCAAAAGCAGCCCCCGTCTCGCCTGCCCACGCTGGGCCCTCTGCCCTTCCCACGGCGAAGCCCACGCGGCCCGCCAGCCTGGCTGGGAACGGAGGACAGGCCTAGCTGTCCCCAACCCCACACAGGGCCAGGCCCCAGCAGGGACCCACCTGGTGGTCCTCAAAGGTCGGGTTGTAGGAGGCTCCGGCAGGCGTCACCTCCACGGCAGGTGCTGAGGAAGGCTTCACCTGGAGACGCGGTGGGCGCTGCAGGGAGACAAGGCCAAGCCAGGGTGAGGCCGGCGCTGTGGCTGAACACAGCCCCAGGCTGAAACTCAAGTGACAACACGGTACTATTCAAAGAGGGAAGCCAGGTACAATGGGATACACCTGTAATCCCAGCCACCAGGGAGGCTGAGGCGGGAGGATCTCAGGTTCAAAATCAGCCTGGGCTACACAGTAAGATTCTGTCTCAAAAAATTAACCCCAGGAAGGAGGCTTTTCCCTCCAGCCCTCTGCCTTCCACCACGTGAAAAAGCAGCATGCGGGCTCCACCCTGAAGTGGAGAGTGGGCGCCCACCAGACAGCAAGCTGGCCAAACCTCAGGTCTACAAGTCCTGTATTTCTGGTGCTCTCGTCACCATCCTGGGACTCTGTGGCAGCCTGAAGGGGCCAAGATGGCCAGCCAGGAACCCGAGGGGAGCCCTGGCCGTCCCAGCTCGGGAGCCAGTGCCTGCACCCGAGACTGCTGTCCCAGGCAGGGCGAGCCTGCAGGCCAGCAGCCTTCCCGTCAGCGCAGTGCCTTCCAGTCCCGCCACTCCCTGCAGCCCGAGAACCCCAGGGAGAAGAACCAGGACTCCTGCTCCCAGGGCCACACAGGAGCCCATCGAAGCCCCGAGACTCAGGACGTGGGCCCACCTGCTACCCTCCAGATTCTCCCACCTGCCCCTCAGAAGCACAGCTGCCATGTGCATTTCTCTTTTCAGTGAGTCAGGGTCTCGCTGTGTGGCCCAGGCTGGCCTGGAGCTCTCAGTGACCCTCCCGCCTCAGCCCCATGCCCAGCCATCTGCACTGGAGCAGGGGGCGGAGGCAGGGGCCAGGCCACCCGGCAGACAGCGCGGGGGCAGGGCCAAAGGCCGCCAGGATGTGGGCACCGAGTCGGCAACTCTCCCCGCGCCCGGGTCCCTCCAAGTGTCCTCACCCGCATGCCCTTCTTCTTGGTCTGCTCGAGGAAGAAGGCGTCCTGGCCGAGCAGTGGCCTGTCCAGAGGGTCTGCAGAGACAGCACGGCAGCTGCTGGAGGCTGCATGGTGTCACAGCCCAAGCCCCCCCCCCCCAGTTTCAGAAGTGTGGCACTGAGCTCAAGACACATCCAGATAAGGTTCAGAGTGGAGGAGCCCAGGCTGAGGCAGGCCCCCACTCAAAAGCAGCACAACAGGAACGATGCCAGCCACGCAGGACACTCAATTTTGCCAAGAGACCCTGGAAGCAACACCCACAGAGCCTCCCCAGACACCCTGCTCTTGTGCAGTGTGTAACATGCACAACTGCCCATGGTGGTTCTGTCCCCACCCGCCGGGGACAGCAGCATCACTCACTGTCTGGGGCCCACAGATCGTAGAAGGGCCGCTCGATGGCATCCTGTGGTCCAGGCTTGACCTTGGGCTCGGGAGGGTTGAGGAGCCGGGACTGGGCCCTGCGCACCTTCCCGGGCAGCTTGCCTTGCTTCTCCAGCCGCTCCCATAGCTGCTCCTTCCGCCGGAGCCTCTTGGCGTTGGGGACCTGGTGAGCGAGGACGCTGGGCAGGGTGGGGGGAGACGCACAGGTGAGGCGGCAGGCAGCCTGGGGCCTCCCCAGCCCTCACTCCAGGGGCAGTCCCACCCCCGCCCCGACCTCAGGGACAGCTGCTCTCTGCCCTGGCACCTCAAGCCCACCACCCTGGCATCACCCGACACCCAGGCCTCCCCACTCTAACTCAGCTGCCCCGCTGCCCAGCTCGCCACTGGTGCCCTCCTGCAGCCCCTGGGACCTGGCCCCGAACACACTGCCAGGCACGGCCCCCAGACCCAGCTAGGCCCAGAACCCCCTGCGCTGGCCCAAGAGTCCAGGCCCCTTGCCTGCTCCCAGACACCCTCCAAAGCCCACATCTCAGACTGGCACAGTGGCGCTCGCCTGTCATCGCAGCGCCCGGGAGGCCCAGGCAGGAGCGTCACCTCCAGTTCAAGGCCAGCCTCACAGGCAGGGGCTAACTTGCTCTAGTAGGAGAAGTCACTGAAGAGTGCCAAGCAATACAGTACTCTGATCTGATTTACTTATGAAACATTGCCTGGCTGTGTGGTGGAATGGAAGGGGTTAAGTTTGTCAGCCTGGAGCTCACTTGGGGAGGAGAACAGACTGGGGAATTACTCTAAAGGCAAAACCAACTGGATGTGCCTGACACAGCTCAGGTTCTTAGATTCATTAAAAGGGTTCGTAAGTTAAAGCTAGCAGCACAAGCTACCGATTATTTCATCAGCTATTCCTGTGTATTGCATCTGGTCCACACAGCTATCTGAATACTAATCTCGTTAACTGCTTTTCTTACATGCCTAGCCAGTTACCTTAGGTTATGATGAAAGTAACAAATTGTATTCATTTTCAATATATCCATTGTACTTTGTACCCTGTCAATAGCAGATGCTTAGTAAATGATTGCTGAGTGAATCACTCAAATCAGGAGAGATTTTATTAAAATTAGTTTAAGTTTTATTTAAAAAACAAAAAAGTTTAAGGCCAGCCTAGGCTACATAGTGAGTCCCTATCTCAAAAGAAAAAAAAGCCCAAATCTGCCTGCTGTCCCAACTGCCTCCCCCACAGCCCTCCCAGAGGTCCCTCGGGCCAGGGGCTGGCAGGAAGGAGGGCCCAGGCTTGGGGACACTCACTCCTTGGGGGCAGGGATCTTGGATGTGTTCTCGAGGACGAGGTCGGCCCGCAGGGGTTTCTGGAGCAGCGACTTCTTCCGGGCCTGGCTGCTTTTCTTGTTCTGTTCTGGAGGAGAAAGGAGGGGTCAGGCCAGGGACTTAGCTCAGTGGCACCACGCCTGCCTGGGGCAAGCGCAGGTCCTGAGTTCCATCCCTGATACTGGGGGCGGAAAAAAGGAGGGGTCAGGGCCTTGGGCTTCCCGACTGCCAGGGGTGGCACCCCCAGCTTGGAGGCCTGCGTCCTGAGTCTCCCAGGTGCATTCGAGGAGGAGACCCCAGAGCTGGGCCCGGGATGCTCAGCCTCGCCCAGGGCAGGAGGTCACCCACAGCACGGGCAGGGTGGAGGCAGCGCAGCGGGTGACACCAAGGCCCAGGGGCCAACTCTCAGTGCACACCCTCGGGTTTTCGCCCCGAGGCCTACCAGTGAAAACTGAACACAGCTTGCTAGGACAGAACCACACCCTTTGTCAACCGCAGAGGACCCCGCTCCTGTGTCCCCACTGTGGGAACGTGGGACCCCTTCACTGGGGCCCAGAGCTTGGGGGTCACCTGTGTCCAGATTTTCCTGCTAAAGCTACATGTACAAAAGGCCTCTCCTCTGCTCCCTAAAACCAGGCCCTCAGCTATTTCCTGTCTGGTCCATAGGCCTGCTGTCCCCACACCAATCTGCTCCTGCCTGTGGGAGTTGTGCTGTGACAATCACTAAAGTCCCCTGGGCCTTTCACTGGCTTCGGGCCACTGGAGCAGCTCCGGCTCTCATCAGACCTTCTGAGCAACCCCAGCACACGTGGGGAGTCCCGGCAGAGCAGCGCCCCATAACCCATCACTGTCCCGAGGAAGACACCCCGCAGCTTGCTTGGTTTGCTCTTCCGAATCGGTGGGAACCATGCTGTCAAGCAGGACAATTCCGGCCTTCCCCTTGCCACCTATCCCGGTACCTGTCCCACCAGGCCGCCCAGCATGTTAGGACCAGTTTCTTACCTTCTGGTTAAAAGATTCCCTCTTGTTCTTACCAAAGCTCCTATTTCTAACTAGAACAAGTCTGATTCCGCAGTGCGAGTCCCCAGCTTGCTTCTCTCCAACCAACAGGACTCACCCTAACTTGTCTCTTCCCCACTCAACAAGGCAGGGCAGGCATTTCCAAACACTCAAGTCACCACTACCTAAGAAACAAAACAGCCTGTGGCTCATATTCCACTCACTCCTGGTGCTCCTCTTTATATTAAAGTTGACTCTTGCTGGGTGCAGTGGCATATATTATAACCCAGGCTATTCAGGAGGCTGAGGCAGGAGGATCCCAAGCTGCAGACCGGCCTGGGCAACTTAGCAAGCCCAGCGTCAAAATAAAATAGAAAAGGCTACGGGTGGAACTCAATGGTAAGAGTGTTTTCCTAGCACATGTTGAGGCTCTGGGTTCCATACCCAGCACAGAGGTTTAAAAAAAAAAACCAAAAACAACGCTGACCCTTTTTAGCAGATGTTTGCCTTCTAAGCCACGTTGTTCATTGACACAAATGGTGTTAGGCTGCAGGAACCTAGCTGAGGCTGTGCACCACCACAAAAGCCCTCCTCACCTTTTTCCTTGAAGCTGGTGTCCACAAAGAAGAGTTTTTCATCGGGGGCCTCTGACAACAAGCCACTGGGAAACGAAAATGCAGACCATGAGCCCAGAATGTTGGAAAAGAACAGGTTTAACCTCTTAAGGTCCAGCTTTCCTCTTAGGTTCATTCAAAGCCCGTCTTCCCGCCATGGGACCCTTCCAGGCTGTTTTTTCCGCTGGTATTGGGGATCGAACCCTCTGCTACTAAGCAAAATCCCCAGCCCTGGGGCCGGGGATTTAGCTCAGTGGTTTCGCTGCCTGCTGCGCAAACGCAAGGATCCGAGTTCGATCCCTGGTACCAAAAAAAAAAAAAGCTTCTGCACTGCAAGAGAAACCACCAATAGTGTAAAGAGACAACCCACAGTATGGGAAAATTTTATCAGCTGTTCCTCAGACACAGGACTGCTATCTAGACTATATAAAGAACTTTAAAAAAATCAGACCTCCCAAATATAAAGACCCAACTCAAAAATGGGCATCTGAAATGAACAGACATTTCTCAGACAAAGAAGTAAAAGCAGCAAATAAACATATGAAAAAATGTTCATCACTGGTCATTTGAGAGATGCAGATGAAAACAACACTGAGACTCCACTTCACCCCAGAAAGAATGGCTGCTATCAAGAAATCAACCAGTAACAAATGTTGGCGGGGCTGTGGGGAAAAAGGGACCCTTCTCCATTGTTGGTGGGAGTGCAGACTGGTGCAACCACTGTGGAAATCAATATGGAGACACCTCAAACAACTAGGATTAGGCAGGGGATTTAGCTCAGTGGTGCCACCACCTGCCTCGCAAGTGCAAGGTCCTGAGTTCGATCCTCAGTACCACCCCCCCCCAAAAAAAACCCCCCTAGTATTAGAGGTCCCATTTGACCCAGCTATTCCTCTGCTGGGTATCTTCCCAAAAGAATCATACCACAGTGATATATGTGCACCCATGTTCATAGCAG